TAAGTCCTTTTATTTCTAGAAATACAATCAGATTTTTATGTTGATTTTATATGCATCAAAGCTGCTTTACATCCTAGCAGTTTTTGTATAGGTTTGGGGCAGAGGGCATGTTTGTCTGTATCTTACTGTGAAGGCTATCCTTTCCTCATTTTCCCATTCATTGGGAGGTTTTGGGTTGCTTTTGCTTTTTTTGGAAGCCCTTATAGAGTTAAATAAATTCACTTCTTTTCTAATTTGCAAAGACCCATCTAAGACCATGAATAGATGCTGAATCTTCTATAATTCCCTTTTTTCATGCATTAAGATGTTCCTTTTTTTTTTCTTTTTTAATCTGGTTAATTTGAGGAGTTATATTTATCAATCATACCCTGAGCACACCCCTCCTAGTCAAAGCAGAATGCCAGCAAGTGGGAGCCAGTCACCAGTAATTGTACATGTCCCTAGGTGAGTCCAATTTGTAGCTAAATTGGCAACCCCTGGGTTAATATCTAGGCAGTGGCCCTGAAAATTCTATCACCTGTTAAAAATGCCTGTGGCTGCATTCATTCCAGAAATAGTATGACATCCCTCATATTTGAAAGGATCACTGCCAGGGAGGATATGCATCAGACAGAATATTCCCCTCTATGGAGTGTATGCTATAGATGGTTATTTGGGGTTGAGATTTATGTTAGAGCTGTTCTTTCTCTCTGGCACTGACCAAACCAATTATTTGGGTGGTTCTTGGCAAGATGCCCTGTGAGCTTCAATGTCACAAATCGGTCTGGACCATCTAATGAGTAGACTGTGTGAAGGCCTGGGTGGAGGAAGACAGCTTGGGCCCCCAGTCTGGGGCAGACATGCCCAGGTGTGGTAGTATCCTTCTTTTGTGAAATTGGTCATCAAGAACCTACATCAGGGGTCAGGCATGATGGCTCATGCCTGTAATCCTAGCACTCTGGGAAGCTGAGGCAGGTGGATGCCTTGAGCTCAGGAGTTTGAGACCAGCCTGAGCAAGAGTGAGACCCTGTCTTTACTAAAAATAGAAAAACTAGCTGGGCATTGTGGCAGGTGCCCATAGTCCAAGCTACTGGAGAGGCTGAAGCAAGAGGAGCTTTTGAGCTCAAGAGTTTGAGGTTGCTGTGAGGTATGACCCCAGGGCATTCTACTCATGATGATAGTGAGACTCTGTCTCAAAAAAAAAAGTGTATGTTGATCAACAAAAAAAGAGTAAAAAATATATATACTTACTATGCTTAAACTTATTTCATAAATAATTTAAATAATGACCTTTAAAAATCTTCAAGGTTCATCTAAAATCTTCTCATAGCATACCAGTTGGAAATCTTTGCTCTAGGGGGCTGAGAATATTGAGGAGACAGAGAAACACCTTGTCCTGCCCTGATGAGGATTAAAATTTAAGAGCATAATTAGACTTTTCAAGCAAATATTGCCAAACTAACCATAAAATTTAATGGTGCTGCCTACTGCAAGGTAAAAATAATTGGGGGACATAACCCCGGTCATGAGGTCATTTCACATTACCCCCAGTCTGGTGATTAGTGAGGAAGACTCGGCAGACAGTCACACTCATGGCCATCACTATCACAGTGAGATAACGTGAAACAAAATCACCAAAGGGAACAAGCATAAAAGAGAAAGTCCAGGGAAAACCAGACTTCTGAGTGTCCTCTTGGGGGGTATGGGGGTCACACAGACACATGTAATCTCCCCCAAAATTGTGACATATACTTGAAATGTTGTCCATGATTAAAATTCATTACAAACCTATCACTCAGGGTTTTTGTGGTGAGCTGATGGGGTGGGCACCTTCTACCTAGCATGTGTCAATGTTCCAGGCACCCAGAAAGAAAGTGGAGTTCAGTATAAGCGATGTTGTTTGTGCAAATGATTTTGGGAAAAGCGAGCCACTCTCACCAGCTCTGGGAGGGGATTGTCACTGTTGTATAGTTGGATTCTGATTCCATATTTATTTTGTGGATCTCACCTTCCTTGTTCCTCAAGGTCTTTGCTCTCTGAAATTTGACCTCCCTGCAGAAGCAGTATGGCAGAATCATTTTCTGCTGCCTTTGACCTGCTCTGGTATCTAGAGAAACTTAGTGATGAGGAATTTCATAGTTTTAAGAGTCATCTAGAACAAGAGATCCAGCAGTTTGGACTGCCACAGATTCCATTGACTGACCTAGAGGTGAGCAAGGAAGTTCTGGTCAACACATTGAGGAGCTCCTATGAGGAACAGCACACTTGGAATATGACATTCAGCATACTTCAAAAGCTTGGTCATAAAGATCTCTGTGAGAAGATCACCATCAGACAAAACCGTGAGTGGGGCCCTTCCCAGAAGGGGGTGGGGAAGGGGGCAAGGGGAAGTTTTCAGGGAGCTTGGTTGTTTTGTATCCCAAGATGTAACTATGTTCTTTGATGACTTCTAAGAGCTTTGTAGTTGAGTCCCTGGAGTTTTCCAGATATAAGATCATGTCATCTGCAAAGAGCAAGAGTTTGACCTCCTCTGTTCCCATTTGAATACCCTTGATATTCTTCTTTTGCCTGATTGTACTAGCTAGAACTTCCAGAACTATGTTGGATAGCAGTGGTGATAGTGGGATATCCTTGCCTACTTCCACTTCTAAGCAGAAATGCTTTCAGTTTTACTCCATTCAATATGATATTGCTTGTGGGTTTGTTGTCCATGGCCTCTATCAGTTTAAGAAATGTCCAACCTAAGCCTATTTTCTTCAGTTCTTGTCAGAAAAGATGCTGTATATTGTCAAAGGCCTTTTCTGCATCAATTGAGTGAATAGGATGGTCTTTGTTTTTAATTTTATTGTGGTAAATTACATTTATACATATATGTATGTTGAACCAACCTTGCATCCCTGAGATAAACCCCACTTGATCATGATGTATAATTTTTTTAATGTGTCACTGTATTCTGTTTGCTAGGATCTTATTGAATATTTTTGCATTAATATCCATTAATAATATTGACCTATAGTTTTCCTATTTTGTTGCGTCCTTTCTTGGTTTTAGAAGCTTGGTTACTTTGTTAAGTGACTTTCCATGCCAAAAGAGGCACTCTGCAGACTGAAAAGAGGACCAGTGATGGGTTGGATGTGGGTTGTGTCCTCTCTTGTGACTTTCTGATTCTACCTCTATTTTTTGTCTTCTTGCTAAATGGCTTTTAAAATTTTTTTTCCTTTTTTTTTATTAAATAATAACTGTGTACATTAATGAATTTACAGGGTACAGTGTGCTGATTTTTATATACATTTTTTTTCTGAGACACAGCCTCAAGCTGTTGCCCTGGGTAGAGAGCTATGGCGTCACAGCTCACAGCAACTTCCAACTCCTGGGCTTAAGCAATTCTCTTGCCTCAACCTCCCAAGTAGCTGGGATGACAGGCGCCCACCACAATGCCCGGCTATTTTTTGGTTGTAGTTGTCATTGTTGTTTGGCAGGCCTAGGCTGGATTTGAACCCGCCAGCTCTGGTGTATGTGGCTGGCACCTTAGCCACTTGAGTTATAGGTGCCAAGCCTTTATATACAATTTGGAATGTTTATACCAAACTGGTTAACATAGCCTTCACCTCACTTAATAATTGTGTTAAGGCATTTATACTCTACTCTTAATAGATTTGACATGTACCCTTAATATGTACCATAGGTAAGGTCCCACCAATTACCCACCCTCCACCTGGCCTCTCCCCTTCCCCCCCCTTATCTTCCCTCCTTCATCCTGGGCTATAGTTGTGTTTTATCTTTTGTATGAAAGTGTGTGACTGATTAGATATTGGTTTCATAATAGTACTGAGTACATTGGATACTTTTTCTTCCATTCTTGAGACACTTTAAAAATTGATTTTCCCTGGATAAAATATTTAAACTTAAGACATGAAACTATAAAGATACTAGAAGAGAGTGCTGGGGAAACACTTGAAGAAATTGGCCTGGGAGAATATTTTATGAGAACCCCCCTGGCAATTGAAACAATACCAAAAATGTATTACTGGGATCTGATCAAACTAAAAAGCTCCTGCACAGCCAAGAACACAGTAAGGAAAGCAAGCAGACAACTAAATGGCTTTTATAAAAGTGGCCGGGGCAAGTGCTTAAGGTAGAGTGGATCCCCTAGTATGGAGCTTTGTCCTAAAACTGTAAGATCTGGGCCAAAGAAATGTATGATCCTATGTATAAAGATTATGGAGAGTTAATATACTGGATACTCCCCTAAGCATATCATCATATTCATTGGCTCACTTAGTATTACAAAACATCTCTGAACTAGATATAATTATGTATCTCAATTGAAAAACTGAATATCTGAATGGTTAAGAGAACTTACTAAGATCATGAATCTAGGGCCAGGCATGGTGGCTCACATCTGTAATCCTAGCTCTCTGGGAGGCTGAGGCAGATGGATTGCTTGAGTTCAGGAGTTGGAGACCAACGTGAGCAAGAGTGAGACCCTGTCTCTAAAAATTAGCCAGGCATTGTGGCAGGTGCCTGTAGGCCCAGCTACTCTGGAGACTGAAGCAGGAGGACCATGTAAGCCCAAGAGTTAGAGGTTGTCATGAGCTATGATGATGCCACAGCACTCTAGCCTGGATGAGAAAATGAGACTGTCTCATTTAAAAAAAAAATCATGAACCTAATCCAAAGTTTCCTACATAGCAGAACTAAGAGTTTAAGCAAAATATAAATGACTCCAAATGCCATGATTTTTTTTCTCGTCTTTCTCATCCCTTGAATATTCTCCACCAATCTGGAAAAGATTGTATTATAAGGATGTATTATAAGATGTATAAGATGTATTATAAGGATTTATTCAACCTTCTTGCTGCTTTAATGCAACCTAATAAATATCTTTGTACCTTTGTGATGAATGGGTACTGAGTAAAATGACTTTGTTTTTCCTGTACTTTTACTTTATATGAAAATAGGGTGAAACCATTTTTACCTCTTGAATTTTTATTTGTATTTGGCATTTCATCTTCCCTCTGTTCACTCTCTTAGGTAACAAAGAAATGCACAAATGTCTCATGAGGACAAAATTCCTAAGCCAGTGGGAAACATGCCGTTTTTCAGAAATTCATTACTCATTCTTTTCTGAAGTTACTTGTGACATTTTCTACATACTTGAATCATCATATGATTCTTCAACATCTTCCAAAGAGAATCTTAATGTGTTCCTCGTGGGAGACAGAGCCACTGGGAAATCTATGATCACAAAAATGGCAGTGACAAAATGGACAGTGGGTGAGATGTGGAAGGACACCATCTCATACATTGTTCACATCACATCTCACAAAATAAATGAGATGACTAATGGCAGCTTGGTTGGGCTGATCTCCAAGGACTGGCCCAAGGACCAGGCTCCAATTGCTGACATCCTGTCTGATCCCCGAAAGGTCCTTTTTATCTTGGAGGACCTGGATAACATGAACGTTGACCTGAACGTGGACGAATCTGCTTTATGCAGTGACAGCAGACGGAAGGTGCCGGTGTCTGTTCTCCTGGTCAGTTTGCTGAAGAGAAAAATGGTTCCAGGTTGCTGGGTTCTGGTCTCCTCACGGCCCAGTTGTGAGCCTTCCATAAAAGCCTTGATGAATGAGAGAGATTGCTATGTGACCCTGCAGCTCTCTAACGAAAAGAAGCAGCACTATTTTCACTTATTCTTTAACAACCAAGAGAGGGCCGTGTTAACCTTCAAGTTCGTACTTATGAGTGAAATTCTTGTGGATCTGTGCGAGGTCCCACTCTTGTCTTGGATCCTGTGCACTGTCCTGAATCAGCAGATAAACCAGGGGGAAGATATCGGATTCTCCTGCGAGACACCCACGGATATATATACCCATTATCTCGCCAGCGTGTTGGCATCTGACCCTGAAGTTACTGCCCGTCAGCATCACCTCATTCTCCTGAATCGTCTGTGTTTACTGGCTTTAGAAGGGCTGTCTCACAACACCCTCCGTTTCAGCAGAAATGACCTTGTAAGTGTTGGGTTCACCAGTGATGATGTCTCTGTGTTACAGGCCATGAATATTCTCTTGCGGAGCAGCAACCACCAGGTCCGTTTCGAGTTCATACACTTGAACATCCAGGAGTTTTGTGCCGCCCTCGCGAGCCTGATGGTGTTACCCCGTCGCTGGATCCCCTCAGCCAGGAGGAGAAAGAAAGAGAAAAGAGAGTTATATGACAATTTTAGCCCAGTAGTTACTTCCATTTTTGGCCTTCTTAATGAGAAAAGGAGAAAAATTCTTGAGACATCTTTGGGTTGTCAACTCCCCATGGTGGAATCTCTCAGGCAGAACTTGCTCATGCAAATGAAATATTTAGGGAACAATCCGAACCTAATGGAACACCACATGCCTTTGTTTTATTGTTTCTTGGAGAATCTGGAGGAAGAATTTGTGAAAGAGATAATGAGCTTTTTCTCAGAGGCAACTATTTTTATTCAAGACAACAAAGATTTGATGGTGTCGTTATATTGTCTGCAGCATTGCCAGCCTTTGCAGAAGCTGAAGTTGAGTGTTCAGCAAGTCTTTCGGTGTGAGACGCCCATCTCCATGCTAACTTCTAGGTGAGTCTTAATAAAAAAAATCCTTTTCCTATATACCTGTGACCTGTCCATAATTCTAGCCCTTGTTGTCTCTGAGAAGGTGGACCCTAAACGCCATGCAGAACTTGCCTTCCACTCTAGCTTTCAATAAGACCAGCAGTTAAAAAAAAAAAAAAATCTCTACTTCAGTTTAAACTCAGGGTTTTCATGTTAAATCTCAGCTTTACTGACATTTTAGGGGCCAGAAAATTCTGTGGCACTTGTGGTGGTGATGGGGCTTTCGTGTATTACAAGCTGTTTAGCAATCCCTGGCCTCTACCCTAGCCAGTAGCATGCAGTTGTGACAATAAACACATCCTGAGACATTGACAGATGTCTCCTGGTGGTCAGAATTGCTGCTAGTTGAGAACCAATGGATTGACTTCATTTCTGCAGATCACTTGTATGGATTAACTGAAGTATCCTTATATTCCACAGTGGGAGTGTTCATAATAGCACATAACATTCTACGCTTATTATCAATATGGGTGTTTCTAGGTCTATAATATTTCTAAAGTTAAAGGCACTGAACTCTGTTGCATTTTGCCCAAATATGGAATCATCAACTACCTGTAGTGAGCCTGGATGTTGTTTTTCATCCATGACAAGGCTTTGTCTCTTCCTGCCTCATATATTAAGTCAGAGTCAGGTACAAGGTCTCTCCAAAGATACAGTAATATATGTAGAGGGCACCACAAATGTACACATTTTTTTTTTTTTTTTTTTTTTTTTTTTT